TGTACCTGTTAATGATTGATATGTGAGGTTAAAGATAAATTTTTATTGGTTCTTTTTTGTAAAGTAATTTCAATACCTGAATATTAAAATGGACTTGGGAGGCAGGCACATAAGACATAATTCATAAAAACACTAAACACTAAGTTAACTTCAAGCTGCGAGTTATTATGAAACATGAGGTGAGTCAAAGATTTAAATTTCGTACATGACGATGATTAGAATCTACCCTACAAGTTTCTCTCTCCCCTTCTGTGTTACAGACAAGTTTTTCTCTCCCCTTCTGTGTAACAGACAAGTTTCTCTCTCCCCTTCTGTGTTACAGACAAATTTCTCTCTCCCCTTCTGTGTGACAGACAAATTTCTCTCCCCTTCTGTGTTACAGACAAATTTCTCTCTCCTCTTCTGTGTGACAGACAAGTTTCTCTCTCCTCTTCTGTGTGGCAGGTGACCTTAAGCGTCAATTTAATATTGTTTATTTTTTCGAACTTAACATTTCAGAAAGACATACTGTTTTTCTATTGTTTTTCTTCTTTCTTTCTTTCGTTTTCTTCCAAACACTTTTCAATTTCCGTGTGACGTATTTATTATTATATATTTATTTTAATATCAGCGTTCGTTTAGATTAAGTTGATATTTAGAAATATGAATAGCTTATACTGTTAAATATGTATTGCGAAACTCCCGCCTATTCTCTAAAGTTGTACAATATTCTCGAGTGTAAAAATCAACAATATATATATATATATGTACGTAAACGCTTAATGTAGCTTTGTATTGTTACCTAATCTTAATTTTATAGAAAGCCTCCACACGCCTATAAATATAACCAACGCGACGAGCCAAAAAAATTAGTATCTATCATTAGTTTGATGTAGTCAGTGTGCTATAAACTTCGGAAGCTATAACTGTGATTATTATAATCGGAAAACTTCAGATATTTGACCAGGAGCATTTACAAAGTTTGAACATTACAAATCATTTAACTTAGTGGATTCTCATCGGACATTAGTATTTTTACGAAACATTCCCTCTCTTGGAAATTCTAAATCGCCGATATAATAACATCTTTATGATCTAAGTGTATAAAGATGTAGTATCAGAAAGGGTTGCTACATACCATTCCCTAATGTTTGGTGGCATTTATTACGTAACGTATTACAATTTCGAAAGGTCTGAAACCGAGCTAAATGATAATTTAGATTTAGTAGTTAAATTGTACTTTGGATTTAGCAGTTAAGTAAAAGCCGATATATAGTCAGTTTATGATATTTGGCAACAAGATTGACACACACAGTTTTCTCTTCTTTGTAACACAAATATGTCTTAATATACACACACAATGATTTATAAACAAAAGATTCACAAACTTACAAGCAGTATAAAGTCTTCTTTCTAGTCTGGAACTTCATCGATATCTTATGGAGGGTTCAAGATGAGCGAGTTAATTACGAGTTGACGTAGGTAAATTCACTTAACAGGGGGATAACTAGCTTTGTCCTTCGTTATTCACCAGCCACACACGCCGATATTTTCCCTACCGTTGACGTTAGGTATATCTCTTATATTTAATGACATTGAAAACAAAGCAATATGGATCATCCTGGAGTAAGAGGACCACAGAGAAAGAGACCTGCATCAAGTCGTACCCCAGTGTGGTAAGCAAAGTACGGCGTTTGGTTGTGTTTGTTTGTTGAATTTCACACAAAATGTCTCGAAAGCTATTTGCGCTATCGTCCCTAATTTTTAAACAATAGACTAGAGAGGAAAGAACCAGTCAGAACCATTCACTGCAAGCTCTTGGGCTGCTTTTTACAAAAGCATAATAAGATTGGCCGTCACAATATAAGTCCCCTATTTGAAAGAGCGAACCTGTTTGGTGACTGGTTTTGATCCCGCAACCAGCATATTACGGCACCACCAAGCCATGACAGGCCCATGCTGTAACAAGTGAGAATTCACAAACAGAAAGATCAATGGCAAAGACAGCCTCTGTGTCCCACGCAACAGTATACGACATAACGAAAAAGAAACTTTGTCAGAAAAAGCGAAACAAGTCACGCGTACACAAAACGTTTTCTTTGGATTTCAACCTTCGAGTACCTCAAGCAACTGGAGAATGAAATGGATGGTTATGCTATTCCATTCGAAGAGATATTAGTAAAGTCGGTGGACACAGAGCCTATGGATTTGTGTGAGATGAGACTGTTGGAACAGGCATTGGGAAACCGTTATTTCCGTATACTAGGTGGATTTCAGAATTCTGCAGAAAGGAATTGTGTACTTTGAACACGAGAGCCTTACCACAGAGCATTTTGCATTAGAAACTACGCTACAGGGCTACTACTAAACGCCAGGTGGTTAGGGCGCTCGACTCGCAATCTGAGGGTCGCGGGTTAGAATCCCGTCACACCAAACA